AACTTGAAGTTCTACTGTGCAAGGGGGGGGGGTGGGGCTTAAAAGAGAATTTTCAGTATGCATACTGTAGGACAATATCTATTTTGAACAGGAGACAGGTGAAATTGTGGTCACACTTCACCTAAATTACTCACCAGACTGCAATTTAAAGGTTTTCCATAATTGTCAACTTTAGGAGCACTAACTGGCTGCCACAGTCCACCCTTGTCAAAGGTTATCTTGGTCAGGATATGCCGAGTACCCACTGCACCAACAGTGAGTTGACTTGCGATATACACACCTCTCAAGCCTTTCACTTTGTGAAGGTCAACAAATGAGAACCTTATGTAGCGCCTGATACAGAAACAAATCATTCAGAACAAATTGGGTTGGCTTCATAAAAGGAGAGTCTTGTAACATCTTTATAAAATCATTGTAGAACATACACAATATGTCTTACCTCAGCCAAGCTGTGGTGGTGTTTGGGGAGAAATATAGCACCCTTTGCAATGACAAGCTGTACTTGAGGCCAGATGTGTCCGAAGTGTAAAGATGAGTAGTTCTACGATCGTGAGTGACTGCTAGGAAAACTTGATTTTCAGATGCATCAGCAACATAGAAATCCTGGTAAGAACATACAAGCACTTTATTAAAAGACAAAAATGGTGGTTAACTTATCTCAGTTTCAGTGTCATGAAACAGCACTGTCTTGCTACCACCCCTGGACAAAATCAAAGTGGCTGTGAGTCACTAAACTCAGAAAATGTATTATGATACTGTATTGGGGTGGGCTAATGAACCAAGGCTTTTTGAATTGGTCACTGGGTTCAGGGCTAGGATATTACTTTTCCCCTTAACAAACAAGTTCTTTGCAGAGTCAGAAACAGCAACCGTTAATTTCACTTCACTTCTGCACAGTAACATGACCAATTAAGGCACGAAAAAAAAAAAAAAAAAAAAAAAAAAAAAAAAAAAAAAAAAAAAAAAAAACAAGCTTCTCTAACTTACAGTATGGACCCAGAAAATGAGGTTAGTAAGACATTTGTTTTGTTTTATCTCTGGGTTTCAATAGAAGGAGGGGTTTAAATTAAAAAAATTTGGCAGGATGCGGACTCAAATACAGCCAGCTAAATTGAACAATCATAGTACATGTACATGTACTAACTGAGAAATATGATAAAAAATATTATTGACCAGGCCCAGGTTGTTCAAAGGATTGGACAACGCTATACACTGGATAAATCTCTATCCAGTGTATAGCCCAGTACGTTTTGGTAACACTTATCCGCTGGATAGCGATTTATCCATTGGATAGCGTTATCTGCCCTTTGAACAACCGGAGCCAGTACTGTTCCAACAACCAAGGGTATTTGTAAGATTCACACCTGAGATGGAGCATCTGTGGGAATTACCGCTGGATGAAAATTGCTTCGATTCACTGAAACCATTAGAGTAAGGACACGATGTCCTGACGACTGGAAAGAAAAAGGAAATTACAGCTTTTCACCCAAAGATCTTAAAAATTAAATTAAAGTTCACCATAACTCTTGAAACTCTTGTACCCAACAAAAGGCAAATACAAGCAAGGACAATTAGCTAGCAATCAGATTGACTTTAAAAACAGAGAGTGGGATGATGTTTCCAAACACAGAAAATGAGTAATACTTGACCCTCCAAAATATGTGTATGCAGCCTACAAAAACTGAAATTATTGTGGAAACTGATAACTTTTACAAAAAAATAAATGCTTGACTGGAAGCACATAGAGATATCATATTCCCTAAGTTTTGGTGGGACTGAAAATAAGGGAAAATGTTACAAGTTAGAAATGAAAAAAAAAATAAATAAATGGCTGCAAACCACGAACAGTGAAGGCTGGATTTAACTTAAGGAGTCAGAGTCCAAGTTGTAATCAGAAGTGCAGAACGATACGATCTAATGAAAATCAAACCAATGATGTCAGAAGAAAATGTTGAAGTTGCTTATGACTCCACTGCCTAGAATCAAGTGAACACTGAATTGTTGGAGTACTGTTGTGAGCAGAAGACTTGACTGGAAGGGCCTGAGAATTGGGATTGTGATTGGTTGGTTCTTCTGCTTCTCCTTGTGACACTCCAACAATTATAGTTTTCACTTACTATAAGCATCGAAGTCATATGCAGAATCAAAAGAAAATGAAAACCTTCTGATTCTTCCAACTCCAATTCTGTTGAGCTTATGACTCTGACTACAACTCTGATTTTCAGTTTTCACCCGGTCAGACATGCTCTTACAATTATGAATACAACTCCAACCCTACCGCCAATAAAAACCAGCCTTCACTGCATTGTAATGTCAGAATGAGGGAGGGAGGGAGGGGGGAGACATAAAAATCAGTGGCGGATCCAGGGGGAGGGTCCGGGGGGGTCCGGACCCCCCCATCAGACCTGACGCTTACAAATTTGAGACTGAAATTTTTATATCCGCAGGATAGTATATCACTTTTTAACTGGCAGATTTTTTTAATTAATGAATCCAAGTAAACGGTAAGGGGCCAAGGAATTATAACATGCAACCGCGACTGGTGGGAGGGGGTGTGGGGGTGTGGAGGAGAAGTAATTTGCCTCAAAAGAGTCCAACAGGTGGGAGGGGGTGTGGGGGTGTGGAGGAGAAGTAATTTGCCTCAAAAGAGTCCAACAGTCCTTTCTGAACCAAAGTTTGGACCCCCCCAATCAAAAATTCCTGGATCCACCCCTGAAAATGAATTGCTCAACTCCCCACAATAATCCAAAAGCTACACCACTGTGAAGAACTACACCCTGATGCTTTCTGAGCTTGCAAAAATTTTAAAATTTGCTTCCATTGACTGGCAAACATACACCGGTATCTCTGTGTATTTAACATACAGTACATTGGTTAACTCACATTTAAATCTAAATTACATGTACATTCAATAAAGAAAAGAAAAAGGCCAAGAAATAAGAGCACTCACCGTGTTAACTTGTGTGGCAAACATGTAGTTATCAATAACTTCAAAGTCCTCAACTTGTGTTATCAACAATGCCGAGAAGTGGGAAAAATAGTCAGTTTTCACCACATTAGAATAGCCACCTGAAAAATGGAGGAAATAACATTTCACATTTTACATCCTTAAATCCGTAAGCGTATTCTCAATGATGTTCTCTATACATTTCCTAAGGCACAGACAAGATGGAGACTTCATCAACATCTAACAGATCAAAAGAAAGAACCACTCAAAATACATGCATTACTCTGCTTAACATAAAAATAAGCATTCAGCTGTACCTGTGAACTCCTCCCGCTCAATGTACAAGGTGTTGGGATTGTCCCATGGTAGAATGCCCCTATTGCAAAAGATCAAACAAAAATTATAATGTATAGTTAATGAGCGTAATATATATTAAAAAAAAAGAGCAACACAAGACAAAACAAACTCACCAAAAGTAAGATAGAACATTCTCATCTTTTAAGTTCCAAGAGAAACCAAAATCAGCAGAGTAGTAGAGCTGTGAGGAGAGTAACAATTTGGTCAGACAAGTTTTCAAATATTTGCCTTTCTTATCCCTCACTCTACAATGAACAAGTACCTCTCTGCTCATCTCTATCCAAGGTTTACAAATACATTTACAGTGCAATATTCATTAAGAGCAATCTAAATTGTATTGTACTTCAGCCCTTCACCCCAAAGAGCACCACTCGGCACAAAGTTTCATAACTTTATAGATATTTGATAGATTTCCAATAGTTTTCACTGACAGCAATTGTCATACTAAGGTGTGAATGCTAAAGTCACAACCTTTCCACCCCTTCAATTTAGGATGTGGTTAGCCATCTAAAAAAATTTTTCAACTTCATTTCTGAAATATACCTGAATTGCAAAACTGCTGATAGTAATAACATCATAGTGGGCTGCGCTCTAAGAGCTTTAAACTAAGGAATGGTGGAAGATTACCAATACTTAACACAATTGGCAGAATGTGGGACATATTTTTACATTCTTCATTTTGAGTCAATTCTCTCAATTCTAGGCGTAATTTCAACGTACAATAATACTGCCAAGTCATTCCTTAACCCTTTCTCTCCCATAAGTGACCAAGACAACATTTCTCCTTACACTATCAATACAATATCAAGCAGACAAGTGATGAGAACATAGAAAAACATCGATTATGAGATTGTTAGTTGATCCAATACCAAACTCTCCAAATTAACATCATAAGAATTGTTAGGCAGACAGTATGGAGAATTACTAATGAGGTCTTATAAGAAGGGTTAAGATCTTAGGAATAGAGGAAACGATCATTGATCTAGGATGCTTTGATTGTTAAATGAATTCTCCTTGTTAGTAATAGAAGAAATGTATTGAGGACAGTATGGAGAATATGCATACTGATGTTAGGATGTCAGGGCTGTGGTCTAGCAGCACTCGGTGGCCGCTGATACCTTACATCTGCTCTTAGGCAACTCAGGAATCTTAGTTTCTTCATAAAAGTATATGCTAGGCACCCTGGATTTCACACTTTCAGAGCACTGGGCTCCCTTCAATTTTTCTTAGAGCACAGCCTTGGATATAAAGAGTTAGGAGACTATACCTTCTTTGCTGATGCATCATAAGCTAGGACAACATCACTTCTGGTTGAGTGAAAGGTGATGTCATCTGCAACAAATGTTACACTACTGTTTACAATACTTTGACAGTCATCTATTGAGCTGTAGATCATCTTGTGCTGTCTATCAACAAAGAGATACTGAAAGGAGAAAAGAAAATGAAAAATAAATATGTCTTATTAGACGTTTACAACACAACAAAACATCTAACAAGTTATTTATCATCTGACATGCCAAACTGTTATCTCAGTGCAAGCAAATTTCGCAGATATTTATAAACGGGGAGTGCATGACAGAAGTATGCGAAGTGGAACGGAATTGGCTCGTTGTCGTGTTGCTGTTTCTGTCTTCTTCAATAAATTAAGAAATTTCCTGGTCATCTAGCTGTTTTTCTTCGTTTGATTCATTGAATAAACTTGGATCTATATTTGCCAATCATTCTTACTCTTCATCGTCGGAAATATGATTCAAATTGTCTGCCATTTTTTTTTTTGTAATTACAATCCAATTCTTCACTTGTGCAACGTGAGAAAACCTGTTTAACCAGTAATCTAAAGTACAAATACCGTGTGATATTTGTACTCCTCTATGGTATCATTTGTACTCCACAAAGTGTATTTGGATAATAAATCACAATATCTGATCCGTTCAGTAGATGATACAAGTTTCTTACTATAAGTATCTTAAGTATCTAAATCTGTAGACTGACATGTAGCCGAATTCTTAACAGACAGGGAAATGTGAACTCCAACTGGAACATTGTATGGGTCAGATCTGGCTCATTTAAAGAGATCACTCATTGAATGCTGCTACAAAATTGAGTTGAGTTCACTCTTTGTTCTCATCTTTACTAAGTAATTTCCTCCACATTCTCCCTGTTTTTCTTTCCTCTTAAGATTTCAGCCATAAAAATTTAACTCAACCTGAAAACAGTGAATAGAAAGAGCCACGTCATGGATGTCTAGAGTTAAATTTGCGGTATTACCGTCTGATTTTACTACAATAGTTATCATTGCTACAGTGTCTCATCAAAGGGCTATGCTAAACCTTTCTGCCACACCTAACCTACACTTACCCTTGTTCTGTCCAAAGGAGAGGGGTAAAACATGTCAATGCGCGCAAATCCATTATCTAGAGTCCTAAAGGAGCCAGTGCGATTCACAAAGCTTTGACCATAATTTCTGGATATCCACACATGACTGTTACTCTGTTCGTTGGGGCGTGGGTCACGTGTCAACACAACTATGGTATCCCTGTGATCTCCTGCCCAATGCACATAGGCCCAGTTATGACTGTCATTAAACTTAAACTGTAAAAATAAAAATTATAATAATAATATGTAAGGCAAAGTGTTAACCTATAACTCCCAAGATCTAAGAGTTGATTTTTTTCCCTTGTGAATTTCCTTGTGAATAAATTACAAGAATTTGGTGTTAGATCAAGATAACAACACTTCTATCTAATAAGTTTGAGTACTCTTATTACATGTGTCTGATTGCTGGATAATATGTGAATACAAAAGGGGAGAAGTTACATGTTAATCACTACTGAGAGTTACAAGCCTTAGGTTCACTTGTCACTGACTAATGAGCTTGGTTAGCTAGGGGCCCGATAAAGATACACTGTGCAGCAACAAGCTCACCCTGTTGACCCTAAAAAAGGGAACCACCCTTGATACTGAACTATCTGCCCCTGAAATGATACAAAGGAGAGAGGAGAGGGTGCATAAATCTACACAATATGTTTACAATATTAATAGTGTATAAATACCTTGGTTAGTGTAAATATAGAATTAAAGTAAAGTAAGTCTTGTGTAAATGTTAAGATACACCAGTTAATTAAACGCGACAATGGCTAACTCGAAAGCTTACGCTCCTTTGGTCACTGTGCACATTTTACTTTAGATTATTCATGTAATTTACTGTTCTTATATATTCTGACTTTTGTAATCTATAGCAATCTCTACTGTAACTTCTTGAAATAGTGCGAATAAATGAATGGATGAATGAATGAACACAGTTTTGCTAGAGGTGGGTTCAAATGACCTCAAAGATTGGCAGAATGAAAAAGTGACATGCCCTTCCATACACCTCATGCGAAGAGACCATTGATCGCATTGGACCTGAGTAGACCCTGGATAAAATAATTTGGATATATCAACAAAGTTGAAATGGTAAATTGGCCACCGTAATGATTACAAAAGCTGACGTTTTGAGCGTTAGCCCTTCGTCGGAGCCAATAGAGGAATTGTGGGTTGTGTGTGCTTTTAAAGGCAGAAAATGGAGCTACGTTATTGGTGGGAGCATGGCAATGAGGAAAACACACAACCCACAATTCCTCTATTCGCTCCAACGAAGGGCTAACGCTCGAAACGTCAGCTTTTGTAATCATTACGGTGGCCAATTTACCATTTCAACTTTGTTGATATATCCAAATTATTTCATTACTCCCACCGACGCAGCCCCAAACAGTTTCTTTCGAAACTATCAGCCTTTATTCACCTGGATAAAATATATTAAGGAATTTCAATAAAAGCCAATTACCCACAGCCTGCTACTACTTTTAAGGTCTCCTGCAGTGGTCTGATAATGTTTTATTTTATTTGCAAGGAAAACTACAATTGTCCAATGCTCGTTGCTGCATATTCTATCATCTGTAGCCATTTACAAAAAATAAACAAAGCTCTTGCTTGAGAAGTACAGATCTTGTAGTTTAAAGAGGTTTCCAAGTTAAACAGAATTCAAACTAGCTTCTTTAGCAATTTCCTTTCTTTTAGACTGAGTGGTAATGTTTCTGGAACAAAGGAAAATAAAGTGGCATTGAAAACTAGCTTAAATTTAATCCTTTTCACCTGAACTATACACATAACCACATTGAACAGATGGTTTAAAAAATTTAACCTTAATTACCATAAAATTTACACTCAGTCTTGTTAAAAATATATAAGACGAACTGATGTCAACACAACAAACTCCAGGCTGAAATACATGTATTAAGACTTTCTTCATGTTAAAGTCTGTTTTTTTTTTTTAAGGATTTAGTAAAAAATAAACTCAATGCATTGTTCAACAAGCCTTCCTAAAACTCTGATAAGCTATTTCTTGTATCTTTTTTCCTTCTATATCTCTAGAGTGGAACAAGGCAAGGACTGTGGTGGTTTTTATCACAGTTTAATGTCTTACCGACCCTGCATGACTTCACGGACTCCTACTAAATTAATTAGTGTTATTTCTTTCCTAAAGTTACTTTTTGCACCCTCAAGGAGCTATTGCTTGGCTCTCTACAACCTTTTGTGAATTTTCTGCTCATTGTTATTTTCTCCTTGGTTTAGATTTCTGCTTTGCTTTTAAGGAATGGTCATTCATTTTTGGTTTTAACAGAAGTTTGCCAGACTCGTACTATTAGGTCAAACCAGCTGCCAACCCTTTTAAAGAAGAGAAGAATACTTATAAAATCCATTTTGAGTGGAACCTTCTTTGGGTATGACAGGATTTTACACAATCTAGAAAAAATATGGTTTACTTTCAGGCAATACATGTCATACTAAAAATGAAATTATTGAAACCATCAGACCTCGAAAGTACAAGTGATTAAAACATGGGATATGGAAAGCTTTGTTTTGACAGCAATTAATTTTACATCCATCAAAGTAGAACATATTTTGGGAATAAATTAAATATTATTTTATACAAAGACAGCTGAACAGTATTTTCTTTCAAAAACACATTTACATGTAATTTATATTACGAATGGAGACAATGCGATGTTTTCACTGAGCCATGACATTTGAAAGACAAAGAACCTTTGAGACTTTGAACTTAATTTTGTAACTGTTCATTAGGTTTTTCTTTTTTCATAAGATGGCTCTGAACTGTACACGTAAACTGCTTCAATCCCAAAACAACTTTTTAGCCAGCTGTAGAAGTATGATTGCAACTGAGAAGACAACACAATGAAACAGAACAACTGACGATTTGAGAGATTCTTTTGAAAACTTATGTAATAATTCTTTGATTCAATGGGCAGAAACCATACTCTAGAATGTTCAAATAAAAATAATTTTAAAAAAACTCCAACATAGGGGAGTGAAAATAATACTGAAGCTCAATAAGAAAAACTTGAATTTACATGTACAAGTACATGTATAATGTAGTCGTTTAAGATACCAGAAAATCAACATACTCTAGTATCCAGAACGAAATTTCCATGTAATACAAGAATTTAAACTGATGCCAAACCTTTCCTCTGTATATGGTACCATCCAAGAGACTGAAACAAGAAGATCCAGACTTTCCAATTAAAAAAAAACATAAGATCTCCACTGGATCATCAAAACTCAAACTGGTTCGAAATGTTTATTGACCTACTTGCCCAAGGGCTGTGCTCAAATAGAGCATAAATGCCAAAGGAAAAAAAACAGTTTTTCTGGGTAACCAACATAAAACTGTGGTTACTGAAAGCTTTGGACTACTGAGCATCCTACATTTGTTAAAATGGCCCTCTAGCTAGGGACACAGCTTCAAGAAAAGCTTCAAAGGATAACAAAATAGTAGTATATGAAGGGAGAATGGCATCACAGACTTTAAACAGCTTCATTGCTGTGTTGTGTGCAACAAATTTTAAAATAAATACATGGATCATAGGCTCTGGAAAAATGTTTAGTTTGTTGTTATTACCAAACAAACGCGATGGAAAACTGCCATCGTGTCATGTGATCATTGAACATCACTTTTGTGTAATTGTCAAAGCGTCTTGAATGAATGATGAACCCAACTAAAAAGAACAGCGCTACATCATATGCACTTCCCTGGCAGAAACTGTAAAATAAAAAAGTTAAGATAACCAACAATATTGTGTAGATGTGATCTGATATCATAATTATGCCCCGTTGTCACTCGACGCTGAAAAACGGTTTCCGAGCGGAACTCCCATGAAATTCACATATTTAATCAACGTTGTACATTGTTTTAGCCAGGAATGTAATTGCAAGCTATAAAAGTATATTTAATAGCAGAGAAAAATTGTACCACAACAATTCGGAACTGCAAGAGATAAAATCACATTATCTGCTTGGACAAATATCGCTCCAATTTTGCAATTTTGATCAGTGAAGCAGGAAGTTCCGATTTGTTTTGGTTTGAGCCACACTGTACTTTATAAAGTAAGTAGTTCCGTAAATCTTGAGGATCGTTCGTTCAAAGAATGCATTTGAAAGAGACAAGATGAGTTTAACAGAGCAATAATACTCTATTTGAGATGTAATCCACACGGAAGAACTCTAAAGATGTTTGCATGCAGCCGATGACATCATTATATTGTCTTGCTTTGACAACTGCGCATATACCGCACGCTCGAAAGTCGCCTTAACACACCAAAACGTATATTCGACATAATTTTAACAGAAAGAGACAAAATAACACGATTCTTACCACATGAGCTACGGGTTTCATGTCGGGATCTACCGATCGACGAACTCGACGCAGAAATTCCGGTTTTTTCTCCTCCGCATTGGACCGAGACGGTTCTTCGTATTCAATCTTCAACAACTTTTTCGCAGAGCCAGGCAGCGGTTGGCTTCTCTGTACAAACAAATGCTGCGTTCTCGGTCTTCCAGCCGCCTCATCCGAGATTCCCCCACATTTTAGGACCAGGGAGAACAGAAAAAGTAAGAAAGTTTTCCACAAAACTCGCTCCATGTTTGAGAGAGCGACTGCTAAAAAATTCCCTGAGACTGGCACGAAACGGGCAAACCCACGTGATCTTACGTCACGCTTACCCTCACGCCATCGCGCGCGTTGCGATGACACTGCAGAACTTCACTTTATCTTGGTAACAAAAGTCCAATTTCCGGGTCGGTTGGAATTATTTACAGCGACACACAGACATCGTTAGGCACGTACAGCTTTGAACGCGGAAACAGAGCTGAAATTTCTCTTAATCTGCCTTCATTATTAGCTTCATTCAGTAACAAAATTTAAATAATGAATCTACGAGACAAGGACTGCATAGAAATAATAGGGCCTATTGAAAGTTCGATGCGACTTTTGAAAATATATCAAAGATCCTGACTTAAGCGCAGTCACAAAGCATAGCAAATTAGATTCATTTCGGTTTTTTTGGGAAGAAGCCCGAGTCTTTTCGAATCAGCCAATCAGCACATACAGGGGAAGCCTGCTGTAGCTACAGCAGGTTGTCCCAAAATTTCTGAAACTGCGCAATTTGATGTATTCATTTACATGTACTTATCCTTTGGCAATACTTTAACAGGATGACCCAGTTCAGTCTAAAGGCGTTAAAAGCTGGTTTAAACGGGGGCCTGAAAATGCATTAAGATGATACGTTTTTAATTGCTCTTTGTGTAAGGGTGATTTGACTGCTCAACTGAAATTCCCAGCGCGTTTATATCATGGATACTCCTGTTTAAATGGGGTTTCCTTTTCAGGAGTGGGGTAGTGGGGGGAGGGGTGGGAGTGCTCACAGATACCCCAAGACTTCCCAAGACCTCCCGGCTACGTGTCTCGATTCAATTTTGTGGTTTCCAGCCTCTCCCCGCCGGAAAGGCAGGCTGAGAAGATCCCTGGATATTCTAACGTGCGCCACAATTTGTTCTCATGTAGCCGTCTCGTAAGGCAACAGTGGTCTGATAAAAGCCGGAAAAGGAATTTGATCAATATTAGTACATTCGTTTTTCTGTTTTACAGTCGAGCCCGCGGTATTCAGCGGCACCGTGGCTCTTTATCAAGCACTCGGAGTGGCTCAGGACGTCCGAGTCCTAGTACGCATGGGCAATAATTCATTTTGACAACACGCATGCCAAGTCTAAATCCCACAGGGATCAACGAACGCTTTTCATTCTACTAATTTATTCGTGTTTTTTTCGTTGCCATGTTCCCACCAATAACGTAGCTCCATTTTCTGCCTTTAGAGGCACACACAACCCATAATTCCTCTATTCGCTCCGACGAAGGGCTAACGCTCGAAACGTCAGCTTTTGTAATTGTTACGGCGGCCAATTTACCATTTCAACTTTGTTGATATATCCAAATTATTTGCTCACAAGAGCCTTTCATTTTCCCAGAAATCACAGTAATTTTCACCCCTATTAACCGTATTATAATAAGGTCAAGATTGTCGAGAATTAGAACATTCTTCTACGCGAGTTAGCAACGCAAATGCAGATATTTGTTTTGACTATTCACGGGATACACTGACATGTGCGGCTACACAATTTTTCAAGAAGTAGAACATTTGAGGCAAGCTGGGGTCCTACCTGATCAAACTGAGGGAAAATTTTCTGACGTTTTTACTCACAGTTTCATGTCAAACTAGAAATTCATTATCCTGTCTTATCCTTTACAGTTTCAGTCCCGTACTTTGAGTATTCCCTAGGTTCTGTTATCTCCTAGTGAGACTTACCAAGGAGTATTCAGTTACTAAAAATAGCTTGTCACATGCTAAAATTAAGCGCTTGCGCTTTGAGAGGGCTACGAAAAATGTCAGTGCGAGACAAACTAGAGCTTTGTAACTGTTCGAGTATTTCGGCAGTTTAATCAAAATCTTTTTATTCCATTTGGACATAACTTTACAACATTCATGTTGTTAAGGCGATATGACTGAAAAATTGCTTAGTGTGAAAAAGAAAAATCACAGCTGTGCACTTTGTATTCGTGATCAACTCCTTCCGGCTAAAGAGAAACTCCGTCAATATCCTAATTTTTTGGTCTGATCTTTTGATCTGAGACGTCGACCAGGAAAAAAAACAAGAGGGTTGCATAGAACTGTCATTATCGGATTTAGATATCATAGTGGGATATTGTTTTGAATTGTTCCTAAATCCATACAAAGTTTTCTTGTCTCATAGATCTGTTGGAGCTTCTTCGAATTTTCGAAATTGGATGCGAAAAATTTCACGGTCTGCTTTTTTAACTTCGATAATTTGCCTTCAAGTCCATAGCCTTTACCATCCACTCAGTCAATTATAGTTCATTGTCAGTACAATTAAGCAAGGAAAGATCCCAATGATGAAGGGCTCAATCTAAAAAACCCAGCCGATGCAGATTTTTCCCTCGCACGTTCTTTAGCTCTCATTCGATAACCGCGAGCAAACTACAAGTTAGACAGTAAAGAACTGATTGCATAGGAACCCTTTATAAAACACGTTTTCTGAGATCCGATGCAATCCTCATTTGGGTCTACAAACGAAAAATGTATTAGTGTTTGATTTTAAAAAAAGTTATTTCAGAAGTTATGTTACTTTTTGCTAGTCAATGACACCTGTTTCATCACCCTTTAATTGTCAAGTGACCAGCAAGCTTTCTAATTGTGTCCTTTACTGCCTGTCTCACCTCTTGGATCTTCCAGAAGTAAAGAATCGGGTTCAGTGATGAATTGAACACAACCACAGACAATGCTATGTTGTAGACGAAATCAAGAATTGACGACTGTAGTTTGGCGAAGGCAAACACAGCTAGGACAATTGCAAGGGGAAAATAGCATATCACTAACGCCATTTGCAGCAGCAGTGAGAAGGAAACTGTCTTTTTGTATCGTGGTGTGCTCAGAAGAAGTTCTCCTCCAGGTTTGTTGGGATTTCTCTGAGGAGTGTTTTGTTCCAACATTCTCTGGTGTCGATTAAAAGCGACATAAATTTTTGTGTAACAGAAAACAGAAACAATTAAACACATTAGCATTATTATGCTAACCATTCCTACAGCGACGTGGTAACTGACTAAAAACAGCATCGAAAGAATACCACAAAAAGCCCACAGTGTGGTCACCAGAATACGAACGCGTCTTAGAGTAACCACCTCCCTATACCTCATTACCAGCAACAGTGCGAGAAGTCTCTCCACGCTTATTGCGGTTAATGTTGTCAATGACACCCCACAAAATATAACACCTGCAATACGGATCAGTGTGGCTATGAGCGGGCAAATGTTAAGGGATTCTGATGTCATCATATAAGTGAGGTAGAAGGGCTGCAGAATGAGACCAACGCAGAAATCTGTGCTGGCGAGACAGCGGAATAACAATTTCGTAGCTGGGCGAACTGAACTTTTTCGCAATGCGATAAGGATGAGAGCATTCCATGTAATAGCAGTTATACTCAAGCAAATATTTAGCACTACAAGAAACAGATGCAGTTCTCCTCCCAAAGAGGTATTGATACAAAATGCTGCTTGGTTGTAATTGGCGGTGTGGTTTCTATCCTCAGATAAATTTGCCATTTTCTTGTCTTGAGAACAGATTTATTGGTGTTTCTTGAGCCAGCCAGCGAAGACAGTGTTTCTAAAATTCCAAAGGCTAAGGATGTCTTAAGCAAGAGCTCAGAGAGAGCTGTGATTCCTAACGATAAAAAACAAGGAGTTGAATCATGTACTCATTTACATGTGTCGGGAGGCTTTGAAGAATGAGGCATAACACAATAGATGCTATTCTTATTCAATGACATGTAAATAAGTGGCCGGGTATTCTGAAGTTTAGCCCTAAGTTTATAGTAATCATACCACAATTACCACAATAGCCTTGAAGTTTCACCAAACCTTGAAGAAGTAAACTGGCTCCAGTTATCATTGCATCATTGAAGAATTTAAACTGAACGAAATCAAAATACCGATGATGTAATACCTGAGCAAATGCAAATATTTGGTTTGACAATTGGCGAGATATTGTTGTATCACTATTATGCTGTGGCTACGCATTTTGTCATTAATCAGAACATTCTCACTAGGCGACTTAGGGTTCTACTGAGCGGATCAAACTGACCAGACTGAGCCTAGTGAAACAAAAAATAGCTGCCGGTTTTTACTCATGTTCATATTAATTGAAAGGTTCACTGTCCTTAGATAAATTGTACCTGTATGTCCTTCAGCGTTTCGGTTCTGTACTTGAATTATTTTCTTTCCTATTGAGGGTAACCCTTTCTGAACAACGACAGTGTACGCGAAAGATGTATTCAGCTACTAAAGTTTCTTGGTATGGATTCAGTAAAATCTGGCATAATATAGTGAAACATGATGACGTCAGAAAAGAGCCAAAAAAAAAAAAACGTCTGCGAGACACACAGGAGCTTTGTTAGTTAGATTCTATTTTTAGTCAGACTCATTAATATCTATTTTTTAAATTAAGATCATGTTTAGATACAGCTTTTATAGCCATAACTCAGTATCATACCTTCTTTTCGTTTGACCGAAATACAATTCGCTCGGGGAAAAGAAAAATCATTGCAATACGCTTTGTGCTCTTGATAAAAGCCGGGCCAAATAAAAACTTCATCAATATCGTAATGTTTTGGTCGGTGATTTGAGATGACGATCTCGAAAATACAAGGGGGTTGTATTGATCTGTAATTATTAGATTCAGATAATTTGGTAGGATATTGTTTTTGAAATATATCCTAAATCTAAACAAAGTTTCCTTGACCTTAGGATCGGTTGGATTCTCTTCCCGAAATGACGTTGTGAAAACTTAATTTTTTTTTTATTTTTCTATAATCTGCCTTTACGTTCATAGCCTGTACCAACCACTCAGTTAGTTGTGGGAACACGTGAAAAAGTGGGGAGAGGAGGGGAAAAAACATTGGTGGGGAGCCAAATATCAAAAAGTTACCTCGCAGATTTTTCCTTTCCCACTCTCTGGTTTCCTTCAATAACAGTGATCACTGTACAAGTTAGACAATAAGGAATTTAATGTATGAGAAGTGTTGATAAAATAAATTTTTTGAACAGATACAATCCTGACACCTGTCTCGCCACATTAGTCTCATTTTAAGTGTCTAGCGACAAGCAAGGTTTCTAACTGTGTCTTTTACTGCTTGTCTGACATCTTGGATCTTCCAGAAATAGAGAATTGGGTTCAGAGTTGAGTTAAACGCGACGACAGACAATGCCAAGAACCAAGCGAAATCAAGAATTGACGATCGAACTTTGGTGAAGGAAAACAGGCCTGCAACAACTGCAAAGGGAAGATAACAAGTCACTAACGCCATTTGCAACAACAGAGAGAAGGAAACTGTCTTTTTGTATCGTGGTGTGCTCAGAAGAATTTTTCCTCCGGAATTATTAGGATTTATCTGGAGATTATTTTGTGCCATTTGTCTCTGGTGTCGGTTGAAAGCAATATAAATTTTCGTGTAACAGAAAGCGGAGATAACTAAACATAATACCATAACGATGCTGACCACTCCTACAGCGACGTAAAAACTGACAGAAAACAGCACCGAACTGATGCCACAGAAAGCCCACAGTATGGTCACCAGAATACGAACGCGTGTAAGAGTAACCACTTCCCTATACCTCATTACCAGCAACAGGGCGAGAAGTCTCTCCACGCTTATTGCAGTTAGTGTTGTCAGTGACACCCCACAAAATATTCCACTTGCAATACTGGTCAGTGTTCTTAGAAGACGGCAAATTCTAGAGGATTCTCTGATCATCAAATAAGTCACGTAGAAGGGCTGCATAATGAGACCAACGCAGAGATCTGTGCTGGCGAGACAACGGAATAACAGTTTCGTGGGTGGGCGAACTGAACACTTCTGCAATGCGACGAGAATTAGAGAATTCCACGTAAACGCAGTTACAGACAAGCAGATATTTAGCACAACAACAAACAGATGCAGTTCTTTTCCGAATGACATATTGATGCAAAATGCTGCTTGATTCGTGGTGTGATTTCCATACTCAGATACATTTGCCATTTCTGTGTTTTGATAGCAGATTAAATGGTGCTTTACTAAGCTTGTCAGCGATGGCAGCCTTTCTCAAACTTCAAAGATCGAGGATGCCTCAAGCAAGATTTGAAACATTTTCTTTGGATTCCTTTATCTGGAGCTATACTCGTGAGTCCTAACGATGCAATAAAGAAATTCATCTAGATACTCAGCTTAATCGTGCCACAATTAAAAAACTGGCCTTTAAGTTTCCACCTAAATTGAAGAAGCTAATTGAGTCCAGTTATAGTTGGATCATTGAGGGTTTTGAAAAAAACGAACTCAAAATACCAATCGTGCAATAGTTGAACATATGCAAATATTTGGTTTGAGTATTCGCAGATACTTGATTTCCAAGATGCAGTGTCTATGCGTTTTGTCAAGAATGAGTACATCTTTGGCGAGTTAGGGGCCCAACGGATCAACATGACCTTCCTGAGTCTACTGGAGCAAAATGTCCGCCGATGTTTGCTTATTTTCATGCCATTATTAGAAATTCGCTGTCGATAAATATACTTTACCTGTCCTCAAGTGTTTCAGTCCTGTACTTCCAGTCCTTTTTTTTCTTCCTGACTTTGACCTCTCCTTTTGTGGTTTACCAAACCGGACAAGGTTAGTGAACGCGAAAGGTGTACTAAGTTACTGAAATAAGTTTAGTATGCGCTAAAATGAAAATGAAAATAGCTTATTGAGTTACTGAAATAAGTTTAGCATGCGCTAAAATGAAGCGTAATATTGGTTATACAAAATGAAATGACGCAATAAAGGGCCAGAGAAAAATGTGTGCGAGACAAACAAGAGCTTTGTAAGTGTTATGACCTTTTTGGTCAGATTCTCTGAAAATCTACTTGTAGTTTTCAGACGCAGCTTTCATAGCCGCCCGTAACTCAGTATCATACCCCCATTTTTTGACGGCGATATGAAAGATCGTTTGGTGGATTAAAAAACAGCAGTAATCGAAACTTTTTGTTATGAACTAAACGCTAAAAAGAAACGCTACAATACAATGTTTTGGTTAATTAGTGATCTGAGATGACGATCAGGAAAACACAAGAGGGTTGTATTAAACTCTAGTTATCATATTTGGATAAACGTCGTTGTTGTACTTTAGCTCTATAAAAAAGAAATTCTTATCCCCTTTATTGGTCGCATAAGTAGTATTCATAAGTGGTAAATCTATAGTAGAAATGAAAAGACCGAAAGGAATTGCGCGAACGGGAAAAGTATCCGGCCGGCCATGCGAAGCGCATGCAGGGAGCCTTTGCCTGAAATTGAATGGACTAAATTAAAATACATTTTAAATGCAATAATTTGCTTGTACATTCATCGCCTTTACCAGGCACTCAGTTGTGTTATTATGAGAACGAATGAAAAAGTGGGGCGAGCGGCGAAAACAATGCGGTTGGGGAGCTGATTCTCACAACAGCCAGCTCGCAGATTTTCTCTCGCCCGCTGTTTGGTTCACCATGAGTCACGTACATGTTTGGCAATGAAGAATTTAGGGTACGAAGATCATTGATCGTCATGAGTGTTTTAAACTGTTGCAATTCTGATTTGGTCCAAAGGAAATACGTATTTAGCGCTAAAAAAAAGACTTCAAAACGTCATTTAGAATGAAAACATATTTCTCGTCAAATATATTGTTGCACTATTCTAATTTAAAATAATCTCAGGCCTTCTTCGTATAAAATCCAGAAGCATGTTGGAATACATCACGACAAGGGATTCTAAATATGTATAAAAGGAAATTCCTTCGTAATCTACGCCTATGCCTTTTCAGCAACTCAACATCCGCGGCTCTGAATGGCGCTGGTATGAATGGAATGCAAATGAAACGTGCTGTGTTGCAGGTAATAAACGTTTTCTTACGTAACCCAGTTCGCCTTTAGGTCCTTTAAGAAATAATGGAAGCACTGTTCGACTAGATTACTTCCCAAAGTATTCAATAAAGAATACTTTCTTTCATCAGTGACTTTTAGCGACGAAACTTTGGTCCGGTTTTAACCTTAATCACGTCTTCCATAAATATCAATAGTGGATGTTGAGAAGCCTATCATAAAAAGATCCTTGAAAATGTTTCCGATACACTGATAAGTCTTTGAAAAATGCTCTAACATTAAAAATTATACATTTGGTGATGGCACGACGTTTAAGATTGCTTCTTTTTCTAGGCCGAGCAACTCTGTTCGTGACAACAGCAAAAGAAAACCTTTCTGAATTCCTTTCAAGCCTAAAATTTGCCATCTCTCTTAATGTGCTTACAATTATCTTTCTTGACGTGCTTACACACACTGTGCCCTCGATATCGCTGATCCTAGCAGTAAGCAGAAAGAGTGTCACCTATAAACGGAGTATTGGCTCAGTTCACCGAAGATCATAACTTCTGTGGTTCGGTGGCGAAGCATCGGAACGCGTAAGCCAGGTCGCGTAATTCCACGGTGGCGTTCTTTGAACACAGCGGTCAAATTATTGCTCATGCGCACTTCAAAGGGTAATTTGCTAATGTCAATCAAGGAGAATCTAAGTGAGACGTAGTTTTTCGCAGTTTCTAAAGAAATCTGTTGGGACGCCTGGTCAATTTCCATTAGTAATGCAACCGACGCAGAATGCTCTGATAGTCCAATAACACTTTCTACCAGATCTGTGTGATTGGGTTTGCTGTGGTTTTAGGCCAGTGCCGCTGGCCGGCCCAGCGAGACCACTTCCAAAATGGCAGCTACTAATAGTGAAAACTCATCAATTCTAACTCTGAAATCGACTTGTCTTCCAACGAAGCTGAAAACCCCATCAGAGAAGCAAAAAGGAAGGGAGCGAATTTGAAAGAACACTTGATCAAACCTCCCTGGAGGATAATTTTTTTGTCACAATAAGAAAGAAAACACAATTGGAGACCTATATGTTTCTTTTATGATTCTGAAAAGCCAAATTTTTAAAGTTTGACATGCTGTATACATAGCTGTTGAGACGGTGTTTTTACAACAATATGTGGCCCTGACAAAGAATATCCTGAAAGACTTCTAGAGTTAAATTGCATTGGGTCTCTTTAGAACTGAGAAGAAAATATCTTTGCCTAGCTCAAAAGTATTAGATTATATTTGGTTACTGTGATATTAACTCCCATCAGTATTTTGATATTATTGGAGTAACTCGTACTAGAAGTAAGCATGAGTATAAAATAAGGCCGAAAGTTGCCCGTACAAATTATTTTAAATATTCATTCTTTCATAGATATATTAATGATTGGAACTCTTTGCCTTCTGATGTAATGTCATCTCCTATAGCCTCCAGTCTTTGAAAGTTTCACTGATTAAGTACCAGTCCAATGCTCATAATTTTGCTGTAATACTAGGGATAGCGTTTTTAATATAAGTTTATGCATTATTATTTTTGGATGTTATGTCTTAGCATGGAAATTTGGTTTCCCCCTACTACCATCCTGTTAACCATTTTTGTATTTTTGTTTGTTTATTATATGTATTATATTTTATTCATTTATTTATTTATTTATTTTAGTATTAAGTTCATTTGTATCAGTTATGTACGGTTACGAACTGTGATTAAACATTAGACATTGTACTTTATGACAAGAAGAAAACTGCCTCAAGTTTTTTCGATACCAAAGTCCAAATTCACAAAGCGACAGAATCATGATGTGGAAGATTTAAAAGGCTTAAACAATACCATCTTGGGAAAGTCATATACTTAACTTTTTAAGGTGGCTCGTACCGGTTTTCATCTTTTTGATGGTTTGTAACTTTGAAAGAATACAACAGAAAGACTGACCAAGGCCAGTTGAACACTTTTACGGGGTTGAATTACATAATCATTGGTTATCCAAAAGTAAGTGTCATTTCGTCATTAGCAGTTTCCATGGCAACGCTTTCATAGGCTTATTCAGACGCATTTTTTAGCTTGTGGCTTAAATAATTCGAAAACTAACCCGGTGACCCCTGATTTTTTTCAGTGATTGCTTTTGGCACTTGAAAAGGAAAATGCACAAAGATTTTTAAAAAATTCTACGGAGCGGAGTTTCAGAAAATCTACAAAAAAGACAATTTTCACACATCACAAATTTCCTTCCGTAGAATTTTCTATTTTTTTTTCTGATGATTCCTTTCGACGTTATTATCATATTGGAACAATAAAAGAAGGGGTCACCGGACTTGTTTTCATGCAATAGCTTTCGTGAGTTCAGCAATTTCCACGCGCGTTTTAAATGTCTGGATTCTATAAGATCGACATTTGCTCATGATCTGTTCTAGCTACCGCTGAAAATTGCGTGTGCTCGCGCGAGCACCTGCGATCTGATGTTTACAGACGTTTACTGCTAAAAAAAATCATTAAACTGCCGTCAAAGACAGCCTCCCGAGCTCATCTTAAAAATCCTACACACGACTCCTGGCTATATCATATTATTTTCCTTTAAGTTTCAAAGTCTTCTTCCACTTCAGGTAGATTATCCTTCTCTTGAGTTCTTCTTTTTTCGCCGTCGCATCTTAAGAATCCCACACACGCGTTCTGGCTATATCATATTATTTTCCTTTAAGTTTCAAAGTCTTCTTCCACTTCAGGTAGATTATCCTTCTCTTGAGTTCTTTTTTTTTCGCCGTCGCAAGATTTCATATCGGTTGAATATTTCTTTTAAATGTGAATCCGAAAATCGTCTTCGTTATCTTAGTTTCTATCTCCTGCATTCTATCTCCTGCATTCTATCTTCTATCTCTTACATTCCTGCTCAACACATCAAATACAAGCTCTCAGGTAAACTTCTCACAAAAGTAGAAAAAATTCCACGCGCCGCCATCTTTGTTTTGAATTTTCATCTTTTGATCTCGCGCTTCTTTCGCACGTTTCTCTCGCGCGCGTCATGCAAGAGTGACCTGTTCCCCGCGCGAGGAAACTGGTACGAGCCACCTTAAGCACGTAAAGCCGGGGTGCTTACTCCAAGTTGATGATACCGTGACCTACTTACGTTACCGACAAGTCCAGGCTGCCAAGGAATGACAACTTCAAGTTATGTATTCAAGTTTTCCCTTGGAGAATCTTCCCTCTTAAAACCGTCGAGTGAGCTTTTCAAGAAAACTTGTCCACAACACTAAATTGTCAAAAGGAACTTGTTAGAACAGTATTTGATTTACTCGAGCCCTATACAATTTCTTTGACAATGGTTGAGTCATCTACATCTGCAAGATCTTCACTGAAAAGCTTAACTGTGAGAAAAGCAGGTAATTCAGGTGTTACATGCTGAATAAAAAGCAAGTTATGGCCAGCAAGTGATGAACCATAAGGCTTTTCTTACGGTGTTTTCTTTAAAGGGTTAATGGTTTATTGTGAACATTGCAATGCAAATTCAGCATGCATTGATTAGAAGTGTGAAATGTCCTATGAATGTCCAATAGCTGAGTACGCCCGGGGGTTGGCACTCTTTAGAAATCTTGGTAATGGTGTCCCACGTGGTTCTTCAAAGTTTGTTCCAAATTATGATCAAAATGTAGTATTTTTTTACCCGTTTTCACACTTGACCTCTAAGATATCTTCCTCAAATCTGGCTTATGAAAGGTTTTTTGGTTTGCAAATCCACCACGGTGTTTTGTACAGTTATTACGCTTCGCATCCCTACCGAAGCTAACAGTGGGTGAGATTCATTCGAAAATTCATCTACAGAAGATACAATTTGCTTACTTCTCTTTTTACCATTTTTCCAAAGTTAAGAGATGAATGCGTTAATAGAATCTCGCTGTTCCTTTGAAAGCCACCACATTTGATTTAAGACCATACAGTCGGGCGAACGTTGCTCAGAAACCATACTTTCTAGGGTGGCTTTTATATAGAGTGGTAACCTCGTCCGTTAGAGAAAAAGAGTTCACCTTACGATCTGTATATTTCGTATATGAGAACGATCCTTCGCAGGATCGGCATATTTGTTGGTAATGTACGTAACAGTGGAAATGAAAGTGAGTTCATTCAAAAGAGCA